CGAGGCAGGCTGAGGCTGAGGCTGAGGCAAGCCTAGGCAGGCTGAGGCTGAAACTGAGGCAGGCTGAGGCATCCATAGGAATCCTTAGGAATCCCTAGGAATCCTTAGGAATCCGTAGGTATCCTTAAGAATCCGTAGGCATAGTTAAGCATCCTCAGGAATCCTTAGGAATCCTTAGGATTCCCTCGGAATCCGTAGGAATCCCCAGGAATCCCTAGGAATCAGGATTCCTAAGGTTTCCTAGGGATTCCTATGGATTCCTAAGGATGCCTAAGGATGCCTTATGAATCCCTAGGAATCTTTAGGATTCCATTGGATCCTAAGGCCGTTGCCACTGCGACTGTCATTGCGAATGCGACTGCGACTGCGAGAACAGAATTCTACAACTGGATTCTCACCTGAATCTTAAGGGGAATGCTTCCAGATATGCTTATACACATCGCTCTTAGGTTGCTTTGCCGGGATAAGTAGTACATGCCCCGCGTGCGGATCATGCATTAAAATGCAAGGACTTAGTATCAAAAACAACGATGAGTTCATGCATACATTTATTCCCTACCTAGGCTCTGCCTAGAAGGGTTCTTACTCTCTTAGCTCAAAGGGGCCGGGCAGTGCTACACGCCCCGGGCGGTTCCCCCGGTCCCCGCCCCGCGGTTCCCCCAGTCCCCTGGGAGCTTTAGCTTTAGCTTTAGCTTTAGCTTTAGCTTTAGCTTTAGCTTAGCTTTAGCTTAGCTTTAGCTTAGCTTTAGCTTAGATTTAGCTTATATTTAGCTTAGCTTTAGCTTAGCTTTAGCTTGGATTTAGCTCAGCTGTAGCTTAGCTTTAGCTTAGCTTTAGCTTAGCTTTAGCTAGCTTTAGCTTAGCTTTAGTTTAGCGTTGGCTTAGCTTTAGCTTAGCTTCAGCTTAGCTTCAGCTTAGCGTTAGCTTAGCGTTAGCTTAGCTTTAGCTTAGCTTTAGCTTAGCTTCAGCTTAGTTTTAGATTTAGTTTTAGCTTTAGCTTAGCCGTAGCTTAGCTTTAGCTTAGCTGTAGCTCGGCTGTAGCTCAGCTTTAGCTCAGCTTTAGCTTAGCTTTAGCTTAGCTTTAGCTTAGCTTTAGCTTAGCTTTAGCTTAGCTTTAGCTTAGCTTTAGTTTAGCTTTAGCTTAGCTTTAGCTTAGCTTTAGCTTAGCTGTAGCTTAGCTGTAGCTTAGCTTTAGCTTAGCTTTACTGTTACTACTAATGCTGCTTTCCTAGGGGCTCCAACTCCTAGGTAGGGTCGCACTGGGATAATTTCTAAATTAATCATGTACTAAACATCCTATATGTTTTAAAATCCGATGTTTAAAAAACTACCCTGTACGAAATCTGTTGCATGCAGCTGGTTTCGGCCCCACAGAGGGGCCCATTCCTCGACACATAGCCGCCTCTGGCGCCGGGAGGCGCCTGGAAAATCAGCCACGTGAGCTGATTCTCCCCCCCCCCTTTGCTATCCCCCCCCCCCTTCGCCCGACCCCCCCCTGGCCCCTCCCCCTGGCCGTCGCAGCTGCCGTCGCCTGCGCCTCCGGAGCGTCGGTGCTCGGTTGGCGGCGCGTGCAAGGGGGGGGGGGGAGCGGTCCGTGCAGCGGGGGCACCATGCCAAGAAGCACCACGCCTGCCTCCAGGGTGCCCTCCTCCTCCTCCTTCTCCTCCTCCTCCTCCTCCTCCTCCTCCTTCTCCTTCTCCTCCTCCTCCTCTTCGTCCTCCTCTCCTCCTCGCCCTCCTCCTCCTTCCCCCCTCCAACTTATGGTGGTGGTGGTGGTGGAAAACAGGCTCATCAGGGAAGGCGTGGGGCCGGATCAGAACAGGGGCGGGGCGCTAGTTGTTGGCGATGGAGCGCGCGGCGCTCCCACGCCAGAAGTCCATGGGCGTCCTGCAGTCTCAGGGCTGAGTTTCCTGGGGAAGGCTTCTTGTGGACGGGCCTCTGCTGTGATCGGTCGGCGGCGCGTGCAGGGGGTGGGGGGGCGGCGGCCCGCACGAGGCGGGCGGCCTTCGGAGAGGGGGGCCTCGTCGGGAGTGCCCGGAAGCTTCTGGGGAGGCCCTCCCGGAGCCTTCTGCGGAGGCCTTGCCCTTCGCTCGGGGGCCCCCAAACACGGGGTGGTGACCACACCGTGCGGTGAGTCGGTGGGGATTTGGGCTCACCGCACGGTTCTGGGACTCGGGTCGTTCTCCGAGGACGTCGCGGGCGACAAGGGCCTCCCTTCCACGTCGAGTACAGTCAACCCGCATAGTAAGGATGGTTAGCCTTCCCAAGGGAACCCTTGCATCCCTGCCTCCTCGGTCCATCCTTGGCCACCTTCGTTGGCCGCGCCCCGCTCGAAAAGCTCCGAAATGGGCTTCCCAGGCCGCAGGCCCTTGCATCCTTATCAAGCATCCTTACTATACGGGTTGACTGTAGGTCCGACGCTCTGTCCTGCGCCCAACTTTTGGTGACCCCCGCTCTGTCGATTCGAGGCAGAGGACCAGACCGAACGGCACCTCGCATTGAGAGGATGCGCCAACCAAAAATTACGACGCCATTCGAAGGAGCCCCCCTGCCATCTGAGAAGCCCCGCGCCTTCATAAAATGCCGCCCCCTTCGCACCACCCCCCGCGTGCGCGCCGCCAACCGTCGCCGTCAGCGTCGCCGTCGTCGCCGCCGCCGTGGTCGTTGTCGCCGTCGCCGCCGCCTTCGCCGTCTACGTCGTCGCGGTCGTGGCCTTCGCCGTCGACGTCAACGGCGTCGACGACGACCACGACGGCCCTCAATCCCCGAAGGGGTCGGAGGAGAGAAAAGGGAGGGGAGGGGGATCAGCGAGTAGAAAGTAGAAGGCAGCTGCATGGGGGGAGGCAGAGGAGGGCACAGGCCCAGAATCCCACTTCCCGGTCCCCCTTCCCTGCGCCGCTGGCGTCCTCGTCGACATCTCCCGGCGGGCACGCTGCGGCGCTGGAACGGCTGCGCTGGGCGGGGCCTGCGCGGCCGGCGGTTCTCGGATCGCCGCGCCGTCGTCCTCGAGCCCCCTCTCTGCGCCCTCTTTCTCGGCGCACTCCACTCCTGCCTCCCCGGCGGTCCAGAGTCCAGAGTCATGCATACGTGTGTATTTCTCTCTCTCTCTCTCTCTCGCTCTCTCTCTCTCTCTATACATATATGTATGTATGCATGTATGTATGTTTGTATGCATGCATGTATGCATGCATGCATGCATGCATGCATGCATGCATGCATGTATGTATGTATGTATGTATGTATGTATGTATGTATGTATGTATGTATGTATGTATGTATGTATATATATGTGCACACATACACATATATACACATGCGAATACCTAGTGTTGTTGTGTGACAGGTTGTATATGTAGGTATTGCTAGATCCGTGCATGTATTAATGTGTATATCTATATATGTATTGACGGGACCCCGGGGGCCGCAGCGGAGGAGGAGGAGCGCCCGGAGGCTGGAAACCTTGGCTGCCCTGCTGCAGGGGGTTGGGCGCTCGCCGGGGCGAGTGCGCGCTCCTGGGCCCCTTCCTCCCGAGAGTGTTTTTGTCCACCCTCTCGGCCACAAAGCGCATTCTGCCCCCACCACCACAGAGCAACGCCCCCCCCCCCCAGCCAGTGCGTCCCCGGCACTGGCAGTGCGTCCGACACCGAGCCACACGGCGGGGGGGGGGGGGGACGTTACCTTGTGCCTCCCCCCCCCCGCGCACCTCCCCAGAGCCCCTCGCAGGGGGACGTCACCTTGTGCCTCCCCCCCCTCCGCCTCTTCCCCAGAGCCCCTCGCAGAGGGGCGTCACCTTGTGCCTCCCCCCCCCCCCCCCGCGCCCCCCCTCCCCAGAACCAAGAGGGCGCCCTCGAGGGCGCGAAGTTATTCGCGCTTCGCGCTTCGCGGTTCGGCTCCGATTCCTTCTCTTCCCCCTCTTCTCCCCTGGGAGGCGGCGCGAGAGCGCGAAGTTATTCGCACCTCGCACTTCGCGCTTCGCGCGGCGCGAAGCGCGAAGCTTGGAGCCCTCCCAGAGCCCCCCGCAGGGCTTCCAGGAGGGTGGGGGGGGTCCTCCTCCTCCTCCTCCTCCTCCTCCTCCTCCTCCTCCTCCCTCCTCCTCCTCCTCCTCCTCCTCCTCCTCCTCCTCCTCCTCCTCCTCCTCCTCTCCCCCCCCCCCCCTCCCCCCCTCGAGATCCCCAGAGCCCCCCGCAGGGCTTCCGGGAGGGTGCGCCTGCGCGCCGCCGGCCGACCCCGCCCCGCTCTTCCTGCGCGAGCCGGCCGCCGATGGCGCTGCGGGCCGCCAGGCAGGCGCCGAGGCCGGGCAGCGGCGAAGCGTCCTCTGGCTTGCCAGCAGGTTTTGAGTCGGGCCCGTCCCTCCACAGGGGGAGTGTTCGAAAATAGTCCACAAATCCAATGGGGAGCATTTCTTGATTCTTTTTGAGCATATGGGGGGTATTGTTTGAGTATGTTTAGTTTTTCGCCCCAAATCCCCCGTACCTCTACAGTCGGGGGTGGACAGACCTCCTACCCTGACACGTCGATTAGTGAATTGTCCGTTTTCGGTTCTCGAGAGGGCGCCGCGGCCGTCATTTTCCAGGTTTGCGCCCGCCAGGTTCGGGCCCAAGGTAGTTTTCACTAAACCACGTTTTACTAAAGGGGGGTCTGTCCATCCCCGATACAGGGGGAACATTCAAGAATAGTCAAAAAATAGTATGGGGACTATTTCTGGACTATTTTTGAGCATTTGGGGGGTATTGTTTGCGTATTTTCATGTTTCGCCCAAAATCCCCCGTGAAGGGGGACACGCCCGACTTAACGATAGGTCCACCGAGTGTTGCTCTGAGAGCCTTTTGTGGTCTGCGCGAGCGGTTCTCAGGAGGACTTTGGCTGGGACAGTCTTGTCTTAACGCGTCGGCTTCCTGTTCTCAGAGCCTTGGTTTTCTTCTCAGAGCCCTCTTCGGTTATAAGAAAATGCCGTGGTGGGCCTGTGGGGATGCCGGGACGGTCGGTCTCTGCTCAAAGAGGGCGCTGCGGGTAGGCGGCTGCCGCCTGTTCTCGTCGGGCTCAGCCTACGACCTGTGCGTCGTCGGCGGCGGCCCAGGCGGCTACGTCGCCTCCATCAAAGCAGCGCAGCTCGGGCTGAAGACCATCTGCGTCGAGCGCAGGGGCAAGCTCGGCGGCACATGCCTGAACGTGGGCTGCATCCCCTCCAAGAGCCTCCTGCACAACTCGCATCTCTTCCACATGGCCAAGCTGGAAGAACGAGCGGGCGAGTGGACGTGGACTTTCGAAGGCCCGCGCAGGTGTCTTGGGCGAGCGCTGGACCTCCCCTGGCGCGCGGGGAGGGGGGTCCAGGTCCGACCCGAGGACTCCGCCGGGACCTCCGAACGTTTATGTTGATGCAGTCTGTTTGCTCTTTTACGAGCACGACCTGAAGGCCAGGGGCATCAATGTGTCTGGCGTGGAGCTCGATCTGGGCAAGATGATGTCGAACAAGGCGAAATCGGTGACGATGCTCACGAAGGGCATCGAGATGCTGTTCAAGGCGAACAAGGTCGACTACGCAGTCGGGCACGGCACGCTGACTGGGCCCAACTCCGTGAAGGTAGCTCTCAACGCCGGTGGTGAGCAGGTTATAGAGGCCAAAAACATAATGTTGGCCACAGGCTCCGAGGTAATGAGCCTGCCTGGCATCGAGCTGGACGAGAAGCAAATCCGGCAGGCTGACGCCAACTGCTTCGACCCCCAGTGTTCACCCTGCGGAGCAGATGGCGGCTCAGGAGGAGGAGGGGACGGGGAGCATGAATTTGTAAACAAACAGGAGGAGGATAACGGGAATTAGGAATATGAGCAAACGCAGTTAAAGAGGAGCATTATGAGAAGGATGATGACGTTTGGTGAGGAGAGAGAGAAAGAGAGAGAGAGAGAGAGAACAAATGAAAGAAATAAACAACAATATGACAGAAAGCGAGAGAAATAGAGAGAGAGGCGTCGACACACAAACATGTATATGAATTGATATTTCTATATGTATATATATACATATATATATATAAGACATATAGGGAGTCGAACTCTACACACCGATGCCTTTTTCTGGTCCCGCACTGAGATTCGCACAAGAAAACGGATTCTGGTGTATACGGTATCCTGGTGTATACATTTGTTGTCATTTCCACGGGAAAGCGGGGAAACAAATATACACCACACCACCCCGACGTCGTCCCCGACCCTCAAAAAATCTGGAGATTCAAAAACAGCCCGCCACTGGTAATGTATACGTTCCAGTTTCCGAACATATCCATATATGAACGAGCGTGTTCTACCGCTGCTAGCGGAAAACCGGGGGGGGTCACTACCGGTTCGAACCCCTCCCCCCCCCCCCCTCCGGAAAACCGGGGGGGGTCACTACCGGTTCGAACCCCTTCCCCCCCCCCCAGTTCGTCATGAAAAGGGGGGGGGTCACTACCGGTTCGAACCCCCCCCCCCCCTCGAGCTCGAAAACCGGGGGGGGTCACTACCGGTTCGAACCCCCCCCCCCCCCTCGAAAACCGAGGGGGGGTGCGGACAGTGGTGGGGACGGTGGTGGTGGGGACAGTGGTGAGGGGACAGCGGGACAGTGGTGGGGACAGTGGGACAGTGGTGGGGACGGTAGTGGTGGGGACAATGGTGAGGACAATGGTGGGAACAGTGGGGACAGTGGGACAGTGGTGGGGACGGTGGTGGTGGGGACAGTGGTGTGGGGACAGTGGGAATGTGGTGGAAACAGTAGGACAGTGGAGGGTACAGTGGTGGTGGGGACAGTGGTGAAGGCGGTGGCGAGGACGGCGGTGGGACAATGGGAAGAGGTACAGTGGGGACAGTGGTAGGGACAGTGGGGACAGTGGTGGGAACAGTGGGACAGCTCAGTGGTTCGAACCGGTAGTGACCCCCCCCTCCGGTTTTCGAGGGGGGGGGGGTTCGAACCGGTAGTGACCCCCCCCGGTTTTCGAGCTCGAGGGGGGGGGGGGAGGGGAGGGGGGGGGGGTTGCCGAGGGGAAGGGGGGGGGGGGGGGGGGGGAGGGGTTCCAGCAGGGGGGGGGGATTTTCGGAGGGGGGGGGGGACCCCCGGGTACCGGAGGAAAAGGGCGGCAATTTTCCACAGTAAAGCGGCGGTGGATCACGCTCTCTCCCATATATACATATAGGCATACATACATGCATGCATACATACACGCATACATACATTTGTAGATACACACACGTGTATATATATACACACCTACATACATACATACATACATACATACATACATACATACATACATGCATGCATGCATGCATGCATGCATGCATGCATGCATGCATGCATACATTCATACAGGCAGACATCTATGCATCGGAGGTTGGGGGGTGAGATCGAAGTGGAACGGAGAGCCCCCCTACCGGGAAATCGATTTCGGTTTCGTGTTCGTGCGTGCCGTGCGGGCGAGGCGAAGCTGCGTGGGCGGGCGAGAGAAAGTCTCCTGTGGCTGAGGCGCGGCC